CGGCGGGGCCGCTGAGTAGGGCGGCGGGGCCGCTGAGGAGAAGGGCGGCTGGGCCGCTGAGGAGAAGGGCGGCGGGGCCGCTGAGTAGGGCGGCGGGGCCGCTGAGGATAAGGGCGGCGGGGCCGCTGAGTAGGGTGGCGGGGCCGCTGAGCAGGGCGGCGGGGCCGCTGAGGAGAAGGGCGGCGGGGCCGCTGAGTAGGGCGGCGGGGCCGCTGAGGAGAAGGGCGGCGGGGCCGCTGAGTAGGGCGGCGGGGCCGCTGAGGAGAAGGGCGGCGGGGCCGCTGAGGAGAAGGGCGGCGGGGCCGCTGAGTAAGGGCGGGGCCGCAGCGACGGGCGGCGAGGCCGCGGAGACGGGCGGCGGGGCCGCGATGCGGGGCGACGGGGCCGCTGTGACGGGCGGCGGGGCCGCACTAAAGGGCGGCGGGGCCGAAACGAAGGGCGGCGGGGCCGCTAGGGGAAGGGGCCGCTAGGGCGTAGGGGGCCGCTAGGGCGGCTCGGCGAGGTGAGAGCCCAGAGCGCGACTCGGGCGAAGCGCGCTTCGGGCAGGAGAGAATTTTTTTTTGAAACTCGATGTGGTGGGCCCTAGGCACAGTTCCCAAGGGGGAACCTGCTCGATACCATGAGGAGAGTAGAACGAGAATGAATTGACTAAGGAATGGAAGTGATACAAATATGCAACCCTAGAAATGTGTACCCCATTTAGGCTACCCCACTATAGCCTACACAATATTATAATTTGACAGCCCGAGCTCGACGAACTAAGGAAGCAGTTAGATTATTTGTTAGAGAAGCAGTTTGTTCGACCAAGTTCGTCACCGTTCGCCGCACCGATACCGTTCACACCGAAAAAAGATGGAGGGTTTCGCATGTGCATCGATTACCAAGCGCTCAACAAGGTAACAGTCAAATCGCGATACCCCATTCCCCGCGCCGACGAACTGATCGACCAACTGCGAACAGCACGAGTGTTTTCAAAAATAGACTTACGGGGGGGTTTCCATCAGATTCGGGTCGAATATTCGGACTGCGCCAAGACAGCATTTAGGACTAGGTACGAGTCGTTTGAGTACACGGTGATGCCTTTCGGGCTTACCAACGCGCCCGCAACATTTCAGATGACCATGAACGAGGCGTTTAGGCCACTCTTAGATAAATGCGTGATAGTTTACCTCGACGACATCCTCGTCTACAGTCGCGACAAGCAGCAGCACTTAGCGGATCTCGAAGCAGTATTGAAAGTTTTAGAGGAACATCGGTTACTCACCAAGGGCTCTAAGTGCGAGTTTTTTCGGGACAGACTAGAATTTTTTGGGCACGTTATTTCGGAGGCTGGAGTTGAAATCGACCCAAAGAAGCTGGATACGGTCAAAGCGTGGCGTCCCGCGACGAACATCACGGAACTGCAGAGTTTTTTAGGGTTCGTTAATTATGTTCGTCGGTTCGTCCCCGACATGGCACAATTGACCGCCCCGCTGACGGATTTACTGCGCAAGGGGGTCGTTTTTACGTGGGGGGAGAAAGAGCATGCTGCCTTCTCTGCCCTGAAAAATGTTCTCTGTTCACCGCCCGTCCTGCGCATCGCCGACCCACACCGCCCCTTTGAGGTTGTTACAGACGCAAGCGACATCGCCATCGGAGCCGTACTACTACAGGACTTCGGCAACGGCCTACAACCCATCGCATACGAGTCACGAAAACTGCATCCGCCCGAACGAAATTACCCGATACACGACCGCGAAATGCTCGCGATCGTGCATGCGTTCAAAGTGTGGCGCTACTACTTGACCGGCGCAGACGTGACAGTATGGACAGACCACCGATCACTACAGTACCTCCGCGCACAGCCCCACCTCAACCCACGACAGATTCGTGAGAAGAAGTGAACGAGAATGAATGAATTATGAATGAAGTGAGTACAAATATGAAACCCTAATTGGGTTGTACCCCCTATGGGATACCCCACTATAGCCTACACAAATAAGTAAGCTATGATGTTCTGACACACCCCCATAGGCAAAGTGGGGGAGAACAAGGGGTCACAAGACCAGTCAAGCAAAGCAAAGCAAAGCTCAGGGTGGATCACAAAGTCACCACACATTCCGAGCACAAGTTCAAGGGCCACAAGGCCAGTTCACATGCAAGATCATATATAGAGATATACAAGAGTCAAGCAAGCAAGAGCAAGAGTATATATAGGTCAAGGTACAAGCAAGGTCAAGAAGTGAGCAAGTGAGGCAAGACAGGCACAAGACCTAGCTGCGTGCAGCAACGCTGATGATCACAAGGCGCAAGTGCCTTGGTGAAGACATCAGCAGTGTTGGCCTCAGAGGCCACGTACGCAAGTCGCAACTGTCCACGCTGCTGTAGCTCACGAGCAAGAAAGTAGCGGAGAGCAATGTGCTTTGTTCTGTGCTCCAGTCGCTGCTCTCGACACAAGGCCAGCATGGCCTTGTTGTCTACGTACAGGACTGGAGGAGAACGAGGCGGCTCTCCAAGGTCGGTCAGCAGGTAGGTGAGCCAGCGAAGCTCCTGAGCAGCCATAGCCCCGGCGTAGATCTCAGCCTCACAACTGGAGCCAAGAACAGAAGACGAGCGAGTAGCCTGCCACAAAACAGAGCCGGAACCACGGCCAAAGGTGTAACCCTGTGACGACCGCTGCGTAGCCTGGTCGTCAGCCCAAGAAGCGTCCGCGTGCCCAGTGAGGACCACTGGACTCCGCCCTCCAAGCACTAGCCCCATGCCCGACGTACTGCACAAGTAGCGCAACACCCTCTTCGCCGCAGCCATGTGCTCTGGTCGGTGTCTCCCAGGAGCAACATAGCGAGCGAGAATGCTGAGAGGGTATGCAAGGTCAGGTCGTGTGCAGGTCATCAGGTACATGAGGCAGCCAACAAGCTCTGCATACGGGCCACTCGACTCTACGGACTCATCCGAAGGCAGAGCTGAGAGCGAGTGGCGAGTAGGCAGAGGAGTGGCCTGAGGCGAGGAGTACGTGAAGCCGAAGCGCTGAAGGACCTGCTGCACCATGTGTGACTGAGTCAGGGTAATGGTGCAGCGTGCTCTGTCCCGGGTGATCTGCAAGCCAAGGTAGCTGCGCAGTTCACCCAGGTCAGTGCACGTGTGTCTCTTCTGCAGCTCGGACTTCACGTAGGCGAGTCCAGCAGTGTCAGCTGTGGCAAAGACCAAGTCGTCGACGTACACGAGGATGTAGAACGGCGGCAGAGAGGTGTCGGTGCGCAGAAACAGCGACGGGTCGGCAGTAGAAGGAGCAAACCCAAGTGCCGCAAGCGTAGTCCTCACTGTGTCGTGCCACTCACGTGGCGCCTGGCGGAGACGGTAAACTGGACGCCGGAGACTCCACTGGGTACCAGGAGGGAAAGACCCAGAGAAGCCAGGTGGGCGACGCAGCCAGATCTCCTCGTGCAGGCTGCCCTGCAAGAAAGCAGTGCTGAAGTCGAGAGAGTGCAGCTTGTAGTCACGGTGAGCAGCAACGTGCAGCAGTACCCGAAGAGTGGTCATCTTCGGGGTGGGGGAGAAGGTCTGAAAGTAGTCAACTCCCTGCCGCTGACTGAAGCCACGAGCCACGTAACGCGCCTTGAAGACAGGCGGAGAACCCGGCGGCCGCTTCACCCTGAAGATCCACATGCCACTGACGATGTTCGCCCCAGGAGGGGGAACAGCGTCAACGTAGGTGCCTGTGGACTTCCAGGAAGCCATCTCTGCATCCATAGCTGCCTGCCACTGAGAGGAGTAGGGACCCTCTATCGCCTCCGCGTAAGAGCACGGAGTCGGGATGTCTAGTGCATCCGGGTCTCCCTCAGGGGCGAGCAGTACAGACGCGAGATGAGGTGAAGCGGCGGCCAGACACTGGAACTCCTCCTGCCTGTCCTCAAGGACGTCCGTGCCTAGGGCACACTCACCCCCGACGGACGGAGGACAGGCAGACTCAGACTCAGCGACAAGACTAGCAGCGTAGTCCAGACGACAGCGCGCAACAAAGTCGACAAGCTCAGTGACAAGGGCAGACGCAGCAGAAGATTCGAAGGAAGGGTCAGTGACAGCAGTAGCAAGGAGACGCGTGACAGTGGGACTGGCAGCACGAAGAGAGTCCGACTCCGGGTCGGCAAGTGCAGGAAGAGAGGACTCAGGAGGAGAAGGCAAAGGGGCACGCAGAGGAGCAGTGGACGGACGCAGAGAAATCCGGTGCGTGCCAGGGACAGGAGGAGGACGCTGACGCGAACCGCGACCACTAGTGCGTGCAGGACGAACAGGCGACGCAGGACGAGACGCAGGCTCACGACGCTCAGTAAGACCTCCAGTCGGACCAGCGTAGGGAGAAGGAGCAGGCAAAGGGGAGGCAGGCTGTAGCTGTGACTGGGACTGGACAGGCTGTGGACCCTCGAAGGGAGGCGGAGGAGGACCAGGAGAAGGTGTAAGACCAAGAACCTGCTGCAGGAGCGGAACGAAGTACGGTCGGGGCCGCGTGGCGACGCCAGAAACAGCAGGGACAGCACCACTACCTCCAGCAGGAGTACCTGCTCCAGCAGCACCTCCAGCAGCTCCTCCAGCGCCAACACTCTCAGCATCACCAGCTCCAGGAGAACCCTCAGGCCCAGCAGCTCCAGCACCCACAGCACGAGCACCTCCGGGACGCGCGGCAGCAGCACCCTCTGCAGCGGAAGAACCTCCAGCACCAGCAGCACGCCTCCAGCGCCGGGCAAACCACTCACACAGCTCCTGTGGGGAGAGTGGCTCTCGGCGAGACGAAGCACCTCCAGGCGGAGAACCACCAGGCGAAGAACCTCCAGACTCAGCACCCTCAGGCAAAGCACCTCCAGGCGGAGCACCCCTAGTCTCAGTACCCCCAGGCTCAGCACCCCCAGGCTCAGCACCCCCAGGCTCAGCACCCCCAGACTCCGCACCCCCAGGCTCAGCACCCCCAGGCTCAGCTCCCGCAGTAGCACCAGAGTCACCAGTGACCTCGACAGGCTCGACCGCGTCTACCTGGGACACACCTGAAGGGGCAGGACCCTGAGGGGGGAGAGGGTCTACCGGGGGGGGACCTGGTACCAAGAAGAGCGGGGGCGGTGGGAGGGACGGAGTGCGGTAGGGGAAGAGGCGGTAGTAGGGTACCGACTCGTCGAACGTGACGTCCTGGGAGGACAGAACACGTCGAGAGGTGGGGTGGTAGAACTGCCACCCAGGGGCGTCGGGGGGGAACCCCAGGAAGACGCAGGGAGCAGCGCGAGGGGACAGCTTGTCCGCAGACAAGTCGCGGACAAACGCCCGAGATCCCCAGACCCGGAACGCCGACGCATCGCCAACCGTCCCTGTCCACAGCAGGGCTGGGGAGGTCTCCGGCCTGGAGACCCTGGGGTGGAGGTTGATCTGATGCGCCGCGTACCTGACCGAAAACGGCCACAGAAAATGGGGGGACAGCCGCATGCATCATGGACGTACGAGCGACGTCCATGACCATGCCAATGCGGCGCTCTGCAATCCCATTTTGCTACGGTGAGTCCGGAAGCGTGAAGGTCTGGTGGATGCCTCGCGCACGACAGAAGGCACGCAGAAGGCCAAAGGAGAACTCTCCGCCTCTGTCCGAGTGCAGACGCAACACAGGAAAGTCCGAGCCAAAGCTCTGCCTGAGCTGGAGACGAGCTGCGCGGATCCAGTCGATTAGCACCACAGTGACATCACCCTTGCTGCGCAAGGGGAAGACTGTGGTGTAACGCGAGTAGTCGTCAACCACCAACAGGAAGTAGCGCTCGTGACCGAGTCCACGGACGCGGGCAGGGCCCCACACGTCCATGTGAAGTGTCTGCAACGGAGCCTCTGTCGGAGGAAACTGGGAGGAGTGAGGGGCAGCACGCAGGCGCCCCTCGACACAGGGGACACAGGCAGGGCCAGGGCCGTGAGGAAGGGGAGGGATGGACCGGGGGAGACCAGACACAAGAAGACGGGAGGCCATGCCTCTGAGCCGAAGCAGAGAGGGGTGGCCAAGGCGGTGGTGCCAGAGGAGAGTCTCGTGAGACAGACGGCGACACGAACAGGGGGCAGACTCAGGACCAGATTTGGACGCTGCAGCAAACACCTGACCAGACGAAGGGACTCTACTAGACTCAGCACCGGGAGGAGAAGCAGTGGTCAGTGTGTACAGGCTCGACCCTGGCTGACGTGTAAACGTAGCCAGGTGGCGACCTGTGCTAGCCTCTGTGCAGTGCGTCACCCGCTGACGAGCAGGAGTGAACTGGTGGACACCCACATCCTGTAGGTCAGCACCACTCACCAGGTTCGTAGAGAACGAGGGGAGGTAAAGACCAGTCAGGGTGCCAGAGGGAGCTGCCGGACACGGGAGGACTGTGGAGAAACGAGACAGGACAGGACCCCCAGAGGGGTCAGCCAGGGACACCGCAGCAGGCCGACTAAGCGGCGTGAGAGTGGTGCGGTCCCGAAAGAAGGAGCGAGACGCCCCAGAGTCAAGGGTGAAGGTGTGAGAGGCAGAAGCCGACACAGTACCTGAGAGGGCAGACTCACCAGTACCTGAGAGCACAGACGCACTGGCACCTAGAGCAGCAGCCTCACTGGTACCTGACGCAGCAGTACCAATGCCCGGGTCGGGCGGGAAACACCGGTAACAGTCACCATCATCACTAACAGCCACAGCATACATGGCAGCAAGGATAGCATCAAAGTCAAGATCAAAAACAGCTACACCAGCCCTAGACAGCTCTCCCCAGCGGGGGATCTCAGAGGCCTCCGGAAACTGCAGGCGCCAAGCGTCGGTCAAGCGGGCAAAGCAGCGACGAGCGGTGTGGGTGCCCCCACACTGCTCACCCGCGCGGTCGCCGGTGCGAAGGACGTAGGCGCAGGGACCGAACGCCCCACCACGCTGACGCTGCGAGTACCACTCACGGAGCTGCTGAGGGGCGGGGACGTCGCGAGAGCGCTGCTGTTGCTGGCGCTGACCACCCCCAGTGCTGCCCCGCTGGGACGAGCCACTCCGACCACCTCCACCACCACCACCTCCGCCTCCGCCGCCACCGCCGCCACCGCTACCCTCGCCCCCGCCGCTCCCACTGCCACCTCCGCCACCACCTCCGCTGCCACCTCCGCCTCCACTGCCACCACCAGTACCTCCACTCCCGGCTCCACCCCCACCGCCACCCCCACTCCCCCCGCCGCCCCCACCTCCTCCGCCACCGCCCCCGCTAGCTCCACCCGCTCCCTTGCCTCCCTTGCTCCTGCCAGAGCGGCGCCTACCGCTGGGGGCAGACGCCGCACCGACCGACTCTAAACCAACGAGGTCGGCCGCAGCAGCAGAGGCGACGGAGGGTAACAGGGGGGAAGGAGAACACCCCTCAAAGATGGGGGTGCGCGGGTCACCACGAGAGGCCCCTACAGCGACTATACTCTTCTCGGCCGCTAGCAGGGACTTCTCGAGGAGGTCGACAGTGAGGGTGGTGGGACAGACAGAGAGAAACTGGTCCCTAACAGCACGAAGGGACTCAGGGAGACGGGTGACTTGAAAGTAGAGGGTGATGTACATGGGAGGGGGGTTTTCAGAGAGGAAGGCAGCAGGAAGCGCAGCTCGGTAGCGAGTGTCACTAGCGCGAAGGTGGGTAAAGAGTTCAGTGACTGTGGGAAAGGCAGCAAGGTCAGGGAAGAGGTACGGTAGCATGAGGCGGCTCGGTGTAGCAGTGGAAGGGGAGGAGTAGCGCGCAACTACAGCGTCGTACAAGGCCTGAGCGGTCTTGCACTGACTAAAGTGTGCACGCTCGGAGGAAGGGAGGTGGCGACGCACAGCAAGACGTGCAGCAGCATCGCGTGTGGCCCACTTGGAGCGAACAGTGGGGTCAGCATCAGCAGGAGGGGCAGGGACAGCGCCAGAGACAAAGTCAAAGAGAGAAACCTCATCGATCGCATCGCACAGTAAGTACAGCTGCAGGTCCTCAATCCAGACTGCAAAGTCAATGGCGCGACCCTCGGCGTCAAAAGTCAGGACAGTGGGGGTGGCCATTGGAGCAGCTGACAGTCTCACCGGGCAGGAAGAGTCGGGAAGCACAGCGGCACAGCAACACGGCAGTACAGCAGCTGCGCCGGCCCAGGTGCAGTGGGAGCCCCACAGGAGCAGAAGATCGGCTCCTCGGGCGGCTCGGGCGGCTCGGGCGGCTCGGGCGGCGTGGGCGGCTCGGGCGGCGTGGGCGTCTGGCGGGCGGCTCGCGGGCGGCTCACGGGCGGCTCGCGGGCGGCTCACTGGCGGCAGCACGTGCGGCTGGTGCGGCGAGCGGGCGGCTCACGGGCGGCTGCACGGGCGGCCGAGGCGGCTCACGGGCGATTGGGGCGGCTGCACGGGCTGCTGGGGCGGCTCGAAGGCTGCTCGCGGGCGGCTGCACTGGCGGCCGCACGGGTAGGTGCACGGGCGGGTGCACGGGCGGCCGCACGGGTAGGTGTACGGGCAGGTGCACGGGCGGGTACACAGGCGGGTGCACGGGCGGGCACACGGGCGGCTGCACGGGCTGCTCGTCGGGCGGCGCTAGGGCGGCGCGTGGGCGGCGCGTTGGGCGGCGCGTGGGCGGCGATATGGGCAGCGCGACGGGCGGCGTTAGGGCGGGCAGCGGGCAGCGCTACGGGCGGCGCGTTGGGCAGCGCGACGGGCGGCGCTAGGGCGGCTGCACGGGCAGCGCGACGGGCTGCGCTAGGGCGGCGCGTTGGGCGGCGCTAGGGCGGCGCGTCGGGCAGCGCCTCGGGCGGCGCTAGGCTGGCGCGTCGAGCGGCGCTAGGGCGGCGCTAGGGCAGCGCGTCGGGCAGCGCTGTGGGCGGCGCGTCGGGCGGCTAGCACTAGAGTAGGCAGCGGACGGGCGCTAGGGCGCTAGGGGCGGAGCTCACGTTCGAGGGCGGGCGGTGCGCTAGCGGCTAGGGCAGAAAAAAAAAGACGTTTCGAGGTGGTGGGCCCTAAGCACAGGTCCCACAGGGGAACCTGCTCGATACCATGAGAAGAAGTGAACGAGAATGAATGAACTATGAATGAAGTGAGTACAAATATGAAACCCTAATTGGGTTGTACCCCCTATGGGATACCCCACTATAGCCTACACAAATAAGTAAGCTATGATGTTATGACAATTTGGTGGCTCGATTTCCTCGAGTCAAACTTCCACTACACAGTCACCTATAAAAAAGGAGCCTCGAACATCGCCGACGCACTGACCCGCCCCACTGCCCAGATCCACGCGATACTACTCGCCCAGACCAGCCCGCTACTAACAGGACTATTTACCCACGGATATCAAACGGACCCATTCTTCACTGGAGGAAATTCGCAGCAGTTCGGAGCCGCCAAGGGAGTGTATTACGTAAAAGCCGGGACCGAGCGCATCTGGGTACTAGGGTACACACTGCTACGGGAATTATTATTACAGGAGGCACATCACGAAGTTACCTCGGGACATTTCGGGGTAGAGAAAACACGGCAGCAGCTGCAGCGGTATTATTACTGGCCCGAAATGTTGACCGACGTGCAGCGACACGTGGCATCGTGTCCCACTTGCCAGATCATGAAGTCAACCCGGAAGCGGCCGACGGGACAGTTGCAGCCAATCCCACCTCCAGAGCGTGCTTGACAGCAGGTGACGATGGACTTCGTCACGGGGTTACCGGCCGGGGCGAGTGGAAATGATGCGATCCTGGTCGTCGTCGATCGACTGACGAAAATGGCACACTTCGCAGCCTGCAAAAAATCAATCACAGCCGAAGAAAGAGCCCGCCTCTTCATCTCTACCGTTGTGGGAGGACGTCCCCGTTATAATATTTTCTCACTATTATATTTTTCCGTTATCCTATTCTCCCTTTTCTCCTCTTTATTTTGGTCTTTATCTCATCTCAATCGGCCTACTATTCTATTTTCTAGAGCCTTCTATTGATTTCTCTTATTTCCTACTTTTCCCACCGACATACCTATTATACGGCACCGACATGTTGAGATACTAGCGTGAGTTAGGCTTAGGAGCCATTGCTAGTGAGTGTCTTAGTAGCTTAGGTTTAGGGTTGAAGATGAATGTCGAGAAAGTTGAAAGGAGAGAATGGGACTTCACTATAGGTTTGCAAGAACATATAGCAAAGGAACAAAGAAGGTGCACCACCAAACAAAGTTTATAATAACTACACTAACTATAGCTACAGGCAGTTACAGATATATTCTGACACTCCCCCATAGCTGCCTGCAGCAGAAGCTAATGCAGAGACACCCCCTGAAGGGGTACACCAAGCGCAGCAGGAGGAGAGGGCAAGTGAGGAGGAGGGATTATATGAGGAGAAGCTGCTGGCAGGTGAAGCTGCTGGCTCCAAGGCGGCTGCTTCCTGGAACCTTCCTCAATCCTCGACAACCCTAGCACCTCTCCCCCAGCTCCCCCACACCCTCACACCCACCCCCCCCAGCAGCAGTTGCAGCAGTGGGAGAGAAAGGACGAGGAGGGGAAGGGGATCACACACACCCATCACCCCCATACCCGCCACCCCCATAGCCTCTGTTCCACGGCTGCACGCGCAGCAGGGAGACGAAGAAGGGGGAGGGGGAAGAGCAGGGGCAGCATAGGCACGGGCAGCACAGGCACGGGCAGCACAGACACAAGCAGCAACAGGCAGCAACGGGCAGCACAGGCACGGGCAGCAACAGGCAGCAACGGGCAGCACAGGCACAGGCAACAGCGGGCGGCAACAGGCAGCATAGGCACGGGCAGCAACAGGCAGCACAGGCACGGGCAGCAACAGGCAGCACAAGCACGGGCAGCACAGGCACGGGCAGCAACGGGCGGCAACGGGCAGCACAGGCACGGGCAGCAACGGGCGGCAACGGGCAGCACAGGCTCGGGCAGCAACAGGCGGCAACGGGCAGCACAGGCACGGGCAGCAACGGGCGGCAACGGGCAGCACAGGCACAGGCAGCAACAGGCAGCAACGGGCAGCACAGGCACGGGCAGCAACGGGCAGCAACGGGCAGCACAGGCACAGGCAGCAACGTGCGGCAACAGGCAGCACAGGCACGGGCAGCAACAGGCAGCACAGGCACGGGCAGCAACGGGCGGCAACAGGCAGCACAGGCACGGGCAGCAACGGGCGGCAACGGGCAGCACAGGCACGGGCAGCACAGGCACGGGCAGCAACGGGCAGCAACGGGCAGCACAGGCACAGGCAGCAACAGGCAGCAACGGGCAGCACAGGCACAGGCAGCAACAGGCAGCACAGGCACGGGCAGCAACAGGTGGCAACGGGCAGCACAGGCAGGCAGCCGTACCGAGTCCAGGAGCGGCGGCGCATACAGCTGTAAGGTCGGCGCCGTGGGCTGCTGCTGGGGCGGCTCGCGGGGTCCAGGGGCGGCTGCTGAGGTCCAGGGGCGGCTGCTGAGGTCCAAGGGCGGCTGCACCAGGGGCGGCTGCTCCAGTGGCCAGGGGTGGCTGCTCCAGGGGCGGCTGCTCCAGGGGCGGCGCTGGTGCAAGGTAGGCCCGCGCGCGGCTGCAACGCTTGCGCGGGCGCAGATGAGGCAGAGGCGGTGGCCAGGGGGGAGGGCGCCGCGACGAGCAGGGACGGCGCCCAAGGGGTGCCGCTACGAGCAGGGGCGACGCCTCACGGGCGCCGCGACGAGCAGGGGCGGCGTCCAGGGGGCGCCGCGACGAGGAGTGACGACGCCCCGCGGGTCCCGCAGGGGCGTCGCGACGAGCAAGGCGACGCCGTGCGGGTCCTGCAGGGGCGTCGCGGCGAGCAGGAGTGGCGACGCCCGGGTCCCGCAGGTGCATCGCGACGAGCAGGGACGGCGCTTCACAGGGCGCCACGAAGTGGAGGGTACGGGCGGGCAAAACAGGCCCGCGCGTGGACGTGAGGCAGGCGCGCATGCGGCGTGAGGGCAGGCCACGCGCGGGGCAGGAAGACGCCGCGCGCCACGCCGCGCGGCCGAGGCGCGCGACAGGACGATAGGCAGCGGAAGCACGAAGGCAGCAGGAAGGTACCTGCTCTGAATACCATGTTGAGATACTAGCGTGACTTAGGCTTAGGAGCCATTGCTAGTGAGTGTCTTAGTAGCTTAGGTTTAGGGTTGAAGATGAATGTCGAGAAAGTTGAAAGGAGAGAATGGGACTTCACTATAGGTTTGCAAGAATATATAGCAAAGGAACAAAGAAGGTGCACCACCAAACAAAGTTTATAATAACTACACTAACTACAGCTACAGGCAGTTACAGATATATTTTGACACGACAGCGCCGACAGTGGTGTATACGGTGTAATCTGGGCGTAATCCCAAGTGCCAATAGCCTTGCGTGCTTGTGCGCACTTGTGATTGTAGTATCGGGAAGGGCGTGTTCCCGAAGGTTCATTTTATCTCGTTTATCCTTGTATTTTCCGAGTATAAAAATGCCTTGTATTCAGTTTTAGTGACAAGTTTCGAATGAGAATTCGATCATGAGACACTTGGTAATCAGAGCCGTTCTCACTCGACGACTCTCGGCTAAGCAGCGGTCGCGGAAAAAATCGCCTCGAAAAACCGCCGGGGGCGACCAATTCGACGCCGATTTCTGGTAAGCACCAGTTCCGCGCTTTTCGAATTAACCCCCTCGCGTGGTTTCTGAACAGGATGGGTTCACCGGCGACCAACGACGTTACGCAGCGGCTCTTCGCGCAAATCGCCAAGATGGAAGCGGAGATGCGAGCGACGACTGAACGGTCACGATTGGAGAACGAGCAGCTGCGAAACGAACTGCAGCGCGTTACGCAGCTCCTCTCGACCATGAACATTCCTCCTTCGACGATTTCGCAGCAGTCGCAGTGTCAGTTCGAGGTTCCAAAACTTCGCTCGCCGGAATCGTTCGACCCTAGCGATCGAAAATCCGACGTCAGGCGGTGGCTCGCGACGATGGAAATTTATTTCGCGGCGATCGGATGGTCGACGACGGAGTACGACGGCGAGAAAATTCGTCTCGCGACAACGTTGATGCACGGTCCAGCTCTCGAGTGGCTCGGAAGCAACAG